AAGATTGGTATTGAAGTTATACGAAATGAGTCATTCGTGAGCCGAGCTCGAGCTTGTTTTGTAAAAGAGTTGAGCTCGGCTTTTAATAGATACTTTATCTATAGTTTAATAGGTCGATTCGTTAAAGCTGAATATGACTTATCCAATTGTTATACAATTTTGGTGATTATTTTTTAGTATGCTTGAATCTTGTATTTGTACATACAAAAATCACTTGAGTTATTTGTATAGTTTATTAATAAAAACTCGTCTTACAAGCTTTCTAAAAATGTTTAATATTATTACTTGTCAAGTAGTTATTAATGAATAATTTATTTAAAATCAAGAAATCGAAATTCGTGTTGTTAATTGAAATAAAATGTTTGCCGCGATGCTCGAGTTTCTCATATTTTATTTTATTGGCCATGCGTTGCGGCACACACGTGATTGCCGATAAAAAAAAAAAAACCTAATTAAAGTCAACATATTTTTGCATCTAGCTTAATAAATAAATATTATTACTGTTCAACGACTATCCAACGACGAACGTTGGTTGTTGAAATTAGGGGAGTTGAAATATGCTACAGCCTCGTTATAAAATTATTTCGTTTTGGTTTATAATCGTCAGATCATCAAGTAGTCGTTGAGTATAATATTAACTTACAGTTTTGCTATGGAGCCATCGGATGGCTCGGCTTATGGAGTCATCCACAGTTATTCACAAATAGCGTATTGACACGTGTCCTACAATAAATGCACTTTGGACAAGTGTCAATACACTAAGTCATGGATGGCTCCATAAGAAAACCATCCGATGGCTTCATAGAATTTTTGTATTAACTTAATAGTTACAAAAACTGACGGAATGATTGCGTGATGTGACAAAAACATTTCCCCGAAATTAGATTGGAGTTCAGGGGCAATTTTGTCAAGGAACTTATGTCAAAACCAAATGATCCAACCAATAAAAGCACGACACCTGTACACATAAACAACAAAAACAATAAACAAATGCAATTCATGGATCACGAGGCGCAGAAAAAAAGCCTGCTATATTTC